CAGTGCTGAAGTGGTGTCTGGCGTTCTCAAGCACAAGAAGACAGTGATATGCCTTAGACAGAATGATGCACTAGGTAAGCTTGATTCAGGCAAGAGTTACAGTTTTTGCTGAAGTTCCAAGCACCAATAATGTGTATTAAATAGTGTGTCTATGCAGAACACATGGTTATCTCTGGCTCACCTGATGACGAGGCTATGATCAAGGCTTGCAAGAACCTAACCCTGTACTTCCCTGGGAGCAATGGCTCTGACGGATTAGCAGTGTCAGTAGCCACTTATCAACTGTAACTACCAGGCAGAGTGCACAGTGAAGCAGAGGATGGAATGGCCGCACTGGGCACACTCCAGCCCATCCTCCTCAGAGCACTCAGCCAGTAACTGTGTTTACTTATTTATTTTTAGTTTAAGCCACAGTGATGTTAAGTTCCACAACAGTGGGCATTTGGGAACTTTTGTTCATTGTGTGTTATTTCCTCATGCCAAAGCTGTTCTAGGAACATACCCAACTGAATGAACACAGAAATCCCCTATATGTAACTATGTAAATAATAGGGCGATGCGATATTTGTATTTTCATTATGTAAATTCAAAGTACCCAGTAGGACAAATGCAGGGTTCAGACTGGATAGAAAGAAGAAGAGAAAAAAAGACGACCACAAACTGAGAAGACAAAAGCAGGTGGATCTCTGCGAGTCCGAGGCCACCCTGGTCTGCAGAGCAAGTTCCAGGACAGCCAAGGTTACACAGAGAAACCTTGTCGCAAAAACCACGCCCCCCAACCCCTCAAAAAAAGTGACCACATGGCTTCAAGAGATACTACCTCTGCCATCCAGAGAGGGCAAGGTCCGCTGAAAAGGAAACTTTCCCGGCTAAATCAAACTCTAGCGGGTCTAGAGAAGGGGAAGGAGGCTGCTCTCAGGACCACTGGTGTCCATGCTCCACTTATCCTGGATGGAAGCCAGCAGGTAGACAAGCGGGCACAGCAGGCAAGGGCGGAGATGGCGCTGCCGGAGTCCAGGCGCAGGGTAAGCCATGCATGGGGTAGGAGCACTGAGATGAGCAGAACAGAGCAGGTCTTCGAGCAAACAGAGAAATTCGAGTCAGACGCAGAAGCCAAAGCACCAGTGACATCCCCAGTCTAGGCGGGACTGGGGTAAGGATACCTGCCACACAGCCAGCACTGGAAGCTCAGTGAGGATGGCCAGGACTCTGTAAATATGGGGGGGGGGCAAGGAGATACCGCCCCCGTACCAGGAAGCACAAGTACTCAACACAAAGAGGCAGGATCCCAGAATTACTGTTGACTACTGTTCTAAGGCAAACTTCAGAAAGAGCGAATAAAATTGACAATACAGCCACCATAGCAGTATTCTAATTTATCCTTCAAAAATAAGGAGGATCTAAAGTGCCCTGAGCTGGGAATTCCATTCCCCCCGTGATACCCTGCACTCCTGGATACTTATGAGAACAGACTGCAACACAATTCAACTCATGTTCCGAATGCAACAAGCAGCCTCGACAGGACATGCCGAAAGCAGCAGCATGTCCCTCCTCTCCCAGCGCCTCTTTACTGAATCATATTTTGGTAGCAAGGTTACAATTAGCTCACCGGTGGAGAATAAACCTATTTATAACACAGCAGTCCCCCCTGAAAGGCACAATTATCTAAAAGGGGTTTAGAGGAAAATAAAGTACAGCTTCTTCCCCTACTGCCTGCAGACTCCCAAGGTCTTCCCGGAAGGAGTCCTCGGTCTAACCTTCCTGTGTTCACAGTTGCCATCCTGGCCACCTCTCAGCCTCCATGTTCTTATGTAACATTTACATAGTACCATAAACACACCCAGAGTTGCATAACATTGCCAACCAATAAAGCCTAAAGCAGGTCACTCCCTCAGCCTGTCTTTGATTAGCCCAGGTATGCTGCCGGGCCTATGAGAAAAAAGCCTGCCAAAGGCAGAAATCAACTCGAGGAAATATGAACCCTGGCTACCAAAAAGCAAAATAAGAAATGAGCCACACCGACATGTGGTGTGTCTATCAATCAAAGTATGTTATTCTGCCCCATAAGATAAAAAGTAACCCAACATTGCTTCTTCACTGAAGTCAGAGACTGTCTAAAAATACCTCCCTGCCAACTGGCTATCAGTAAGTCAGCTCACAAATGTCCCAATAAGAGTGACATACAGCATTTTCTTATTTCCAGAGGAAAAACTGAGGCAGTAACAGTTACTTGTTCAAGGACAGCCTATAAGGAGATCAAGGTGCAGAGCGCCAGCCTCCTCCCTCCATCTGGTTCTAACCTTTAACCGGAGTAGCCATTTTAATATGCTTTATCACATCTGCCCGAGGAGCTGTTGGAACAAACTAATCAGAGCTCCCTTTCTCTCCAAAGGAGCTCTCCTCCACTGCACCTCAAATCCATGCCCACTGAACAAAGTTACAAGGCTGAGATTGGGATTACATTTTTGGGCTGCTCACAGAAACACAAATTGTCCCTGTCAGAACCTCACATGCCTCTCTCTTGCTGCTTTTGTCTTTAAAAAATGTCATGTTCTTCTCCTAACTTAATTTTACATTTTATAATACTAATGTGAAAATTCCTGAGAGGGCTGAAACACACACACCTATCAAATGGCTGCTGTTTCTAGGGTGACATCACTCCCCTATCACAGGCTGTGTACGAAGGCCCAGTTTTCATTAATTAATAGAAGAACACCTATCTCTTGCTGCCCTCACACGGTGTCCACACCCCAGGCATGAGAACTGCCTGGCTGGGCCACTTCTCCAGCCCACACAGAGGAGCACTGTATAGGAAATGCAGGGGAGGGAAAAAATCAACTTCTTGTTATCCCAGCCTCTACTTTCCCAGAAGTGACGTTTCACTTCAAGCCTTTTGCAACAGTGGTCTCTGTAGCATGCACTGTTGGCAACTGGATGTGTCCCGGAAAAAACTGCAGTGTCTGGCCAACAAGTTTAAAGGCCTCAGAGAATGTTTGCTGGACACATAACCGAATTCAAAAAAAGAACCCAGTTCCCTGTTATACCCACCCACCCTCACCCCAACAAACATTCTTTTAGGGAAGGTACAAAACAAAAACAACACACAGACTTCTACTACATGCAGAACCAGCTGGATTACCAATTAAACATTCTTAACTATGTTAAAACAAGAAAAACCCACAGAGAGATACACCTAATCAGTAGGGAAAGACTGCTTCAAAATCCTGGAGATGTCAGAGGCAGGATATTAACCCCACTGGAGGGGCTTAAAGGTTTATTTAGACACACATAACATGACAGACCTGAAGACGCAGACTCCTTATTTTACTATCCTGCTGGAGACACAGCACGGTCACATAGTCCAAAACCATGGCCCATAAGGCCCAGCAAACAGTCTGACTTATGAAAACCATTCTCTCCCCGCAAATGTAAGGCTCTGTTTGTACACCTCCAGCTTGTTTGTCAGTCTCTACCGCACAGTTACCTATGACAAGGCAGCAACATGAAGAACACAGCACAGTGCCTAACAGAAGCATTAGCCGGTGAACAAAGACCCGGCTGCACAAGCCTCACCACTGTGGGAGACAACACATCCAAGCAGGAGATAATGAACTTGTTTTTGAGACTCCAAAGTAGCATGGTATCGTCTACTGAGGGTCTGTTACTAAAGCAAGACCCACCTGAGAATCGTGTGTGTGTAAGCTCCAGGTACACACCACACACACTTGATCTCCCATTGCTGGAAGGTTGGGGGCCGCTGAGAAGTCAAAGCAGCAGGCTTTGTCCAATGGGATCAATGAGTATAATCCTAACCGCCCCACCATTACCCGTGTGTGGGTCAATAATCGCTTCGATGTAACTGCCAAATATAACCTTCATCTGCAACCCCAATGCCAAGACACATTTGAGAATACTATCAAATGAAATATTTTAGGGTTTCATGTGCTCTCCCCAGCCCCCAAAGCCTCATAAACAACACAGCCAGTGGAGTGTCCCACAGAAACGTCTACACCTCAGTAGTGGGAAAGGTGGGGGTGGGCCTGGCCCGCACAAGGCCCTGGGGGTTGGAAGGTGAGGGGTGTGTGTGTGGTGGGGTGCTGGAGGAGGCACTGTGTGCCACAGCGAAAGTACTGCCCAAGGTCCAGAGAGGTGGTGCAAAGGTGGGGTCTTTAAATTAAATTGGGGTGGGGGTGGGGAGTTGAACGACATTCCAGGATTTCACCTGAAAAGCACACTCAAAGTGATGAACTGAATGCCCCCCTGGGGCGGGGTGGGGGAGGCAAGGAGGAAAGCAAACACAAATACGCCTAGATTCAGATTACCAGCTGGGAAACTAGGCTTCACAGGGTTGGAGTGGTGGAAGCCAAGCTCCAAAAAGGTTTAGGGGCCTGTTCGCCCCATTTCCTCCAAACAGCTTCTACAGGCATGGATACCCGAGGGGGGGGGGGCTGCAGAACCCAAGGGAGTGAGCAAGGAAGGCGAAATGTGACTCCGGTGCCGAGAACATCAAGGTGGTAGGGGAGGAAGGGTAGAGGCACCCCAAGCTGAAGGAAGGTTAGAGACCCCTCTATCCTTGTAGCCCAGGGTACGTATCGGCTCTAGGTATCAGGTCACCTCGGAGAAACAAGCCCCCTTGCCGAACCCCACAATCTTGGCGGGAGAAAAGGCGCCCCCAGGAGCATCTGCTGGCAGGGAATAACCCCCCTCACACGGACGTGCTGAAGGGCAGGAGCCGGGGACCTCCACATCTCGGGGAAGCCTGGGCTGTGAGCGGAGGGAGCTGAGGGAGCTGGAAGCGCGACCCTCAGAGCGCGCCCGGGTCGGGCTCCGCCTGGAAGAGCGCGCGGGTCCCCAAGGCTGACCCCCGCCACCCCGGCCCTCCGCGCCCCCCGCCCGGCCATATTGCGCGGCTGGGGAGGGGGCGCGCCCGAGCCCCACGGCGGGTGAGAGGCCTCGCCTGGCCCTCTGCATCCCGCGCCGCCCCCCGGCCCGGGACTCACCCTGGATCCCTCGGGGCCCAGACCCGCCGCTGCCGGCGAGCAGGAGGACAACAAGGGGGAAGAAGGAGGAGGCTCCGGCCGACTCCGCCATAGTAACCGCCGCCGCAGCCCAGCAGCGCCCAGCGCGCGCGCGCGCCCCCGGCGCCTCCCTCCTCCCGCCCGCCCGCGCGCCCCCGGCTCCTTCGCTCCGCGCCGGCACGTGAGCTCCCGGGAGCCGGTGCGGCGGCTGCCGCGCGCGCCCCCGAAGGGCGGGGCCGGGTGCGCGCGGGCGCCCGCCTTAAAGGGGAGTGTCCCTGTTAAAGGGGCGGAGGCTCGCCTCGGCCAACCTCGCGCGCCGGTGCGGAGCCCAGCGGAGAGCCGGGGAGGCGGGGTCCGGCGGCCTCCTCCCTCCCCCTCCTCCCTCCTTCCCAGCGCCCACCCTCCGGCCCATTGAGTCCCGCAGGGTTCCGTCTCTAGGGTCTGCTAACCGGCGTCCTCGCGAGACTCCCCTTTGCAGCCCTCTGGACACAACAACCTGTGCGGTCCTCTTTTCAAAATATATCCAGACTGGCACAGCTGAGAGACTTGGTGAGGGCACTGCCTCAGGTAGAACCCTTTTGATAAATAGTGTGATAGTACCTATCAAACGTCTCCCAGTATGCTTCGCATTTGCCCGGCTTTTACGCTATCTGTCTTCAGGAAATAATGTGGCTAAATATTTACGCAAAATGTTCCCTTGCTTATTTATCTTTGGAAAAGCTGGAAACCAGAGAAGCAATAATAGAAGCTTAGATAAACTATGTTCGGCTCACCCATGTGAGGAAACTCTAGTCATTAAAAATGGATGTACAGGACTGGAGAGATGGCTCAGCAGTTAAGAGCACTTGGCTGCTCTTCTAGAGGACCCAGGTTCAATTCCCAGCACCCACAGGGCAGCTCACAACCGTCTTATAACTCTAAGATTTGACACCCTCACAGACATACATACATACAGGCAAAAACAATGCACACGAGATAAAAATAAAATCGGTTTACAAAACTAATGGCATGAGAAAATGTTATTCCATGTTAAATGAAAATGCAAAATACCAAACTTTATGATACTAAAATTTTGTTGGTGATACGTATATGTAGGAGAAAAAGGAAAGATGCTACTAAGCATTACCTCTAGGATTTGTTGTTTGTTTGTTTGAGTCAGGGTCTTACTATGTAGCCCTGGATACCCAGGCTGCCTGTGAGCTCACTCTACACAGGAATATGGCCTTAAACTCCTGATCCTCCTACCTTTGCCTAAGTGTATGGAGTGACAGGTGTCCTTGCCATGCTAGCAGCCCAGGTGATCAGAACTTGGCTGCACTAGATCTGACCTCCTGGTAAGATCGCATTCACACATTTGGGGTGGGGGTAGGGATACCAGTTGATCCTATACAATCAGTACTTCTGCAATTGGAAAGAGGATGCCAAATCCTCGGGAATACCACTCTGAGACATCCTTCCTTATGTCTTACTACCTCTGTGGCCTCAAGACTGGTGGTCACAGAGGGAGCCTATAGTTGCTGCACTTCCAGACAGTAAGGTCTAAGCGTAAGCATGCAGAACAACAGAACAACTACCTAAATCCTGTGTCCCCAGATCAGCACACCCATCATTTGCTCGCCTGATAACCCCTTGACTTTGGCCAAGAGTTTTTACCTCCCTAAACCTCAGTTCGCTCATTTGTACAATATTTTGTAGGGATGCTGTGAGAATTCGCTAGAGCATTGTAAAACACTTAACATGGACTCTGACACAGGAGACCATGTCAGAGTAGTGACTGGTATGAACACCACCTTTGCTACCGTCCTGCAGGGGGGGGACATGTCGAGTGTGCCCCACGTGCAGGCGAAGCTGCCGAGCCTCAGAGAAGGTGCAGCTTGTCTGAGCTCGCACATAATTAGCTGTTAACGCCACAGCCCACTGCTCTTGTGCTTTGTTCAAAACCGCAGCATCTTACGCTTTCATAAGGCCTAACCTTCAGAACCAAGCTGAGGACGGAAAATGAGATTTGCTGAGGTGGAGAGAAAGGGTAATTCTATTTCTCACACCCTTTTGTGAGGGTGCTTTCCTAGGTGATGCATCTACCCTCCCTCTAAGGCCCTGGGCTGCAGGGTGACAGAATGTCCAGCTCACACCCATGATCCTTTGCTTTTCCTGTGACTGGGCCCAAGGATGCCCCCTTCTAGGGCTTCTCACCATGCCTGAAGAAAGCGAAGTGTCCTTACTTCCAGTGGTTTATACAAACCTCTTGTATTTCGTGGCGTTGTGACATTTCTGTGCACGCATACGCTGTATAATGATCAAGTCAGGGTAAGTGTATCTCCTCAGACATGTATCACATCTTCACCGTAGAAGCCGTCAAACGCCTTTTTCCTGACTTTTCAAATATGGAAACTCTCACTATCTACAGTCGCTTCTTGTGCAGCAGCACACTAGAACTTCTCTTATCTAACTGTTGCTTAGTTCTGTTTATTGATCCCCCCCTTGTCCTCCCTCCTACTTGCCACAACCCCTGTAGCCACATTGTACTGAAGCCTTAAACTGCAGGCTAGACCTCTGCAGAGTCCAGGAACTTCTGGTCTCCAGTCCCTTTGGTGTTCAATCCCTCAGACTCCTAGAGGTCACTTTCCTAGGAAAAGAAATCCTTCTTCCCTGTGCTCCAGTGACTAGACAGTTTCCATCTTGATCATAATTCACCAAGGCACCATTAAGAGGACTCATGTCAGGTTGCCGGGATGAGCACTTGGAGCATGAGCACTTACAGAGGACCTACGGTACCCAAACACAGAATGCCTGCCTGCTCAGTCTCACAGAGGACCTACGGTACCCCAGACACAGCATGTCTGCCTGCTCAGTCTCACAGAGGACCTCCGGTACCCCAGACACAGCATGCCTGCCTGCTCAATCTCACAGAGGACCTCCGGTACCCCAGAAACAGCATGTCTGCCTGCTCAGTCTTGGGTCCTTGCTTTCATGAAACGTGTCATTGTATTCAGACAAGCAGGAAAGAAAGACAACAATGGTTTGTGTCCACTCTGGTGCAGGCCACAGAGTCAGTGGGGCATGCCGAAGTTTCAGCCGGTCAGCTCTACAGGAAGCAGCTGAAGAGAGTGACCAAGAAGAGGCCACACCACGGCTGATTGTTGGGTAGCCAGTGCTCCTCGGATAGACAGATCTGAGGAACAGGGCTAGGGAGGTGACTCAGAGGTAAAGAGCCCTTGTTGTTCTTACAGAGGACCTGGCTTCAGTTCCCAGCACCCACATCAGGCCCCTCACAACCACTTGTAATACAGTCATGGGAGATCTGGTGCCCTTTCTTGGCTTTTGTATGTACCAGGCACACATGTGGTACACATACATACCTGCAAGCATTCATACATGCACATAAAATACATCTTTTTAAATTTTTTTTAATTTTTTTTAAATTTTATTTTCGAGACAGGGTTTCTCCGTAGCTTTTGGTTCCTGTCCTGGAACTAGCTCTTCTAGACCAGGCTGGCCTCGAACTCACAGAGATCCGCCTGCCTCTGTCTCCCGAGTGCTGGGATTAAAGGCATGCGCCACCACCGGGCAAATACATCTTTTTTTAAAAAGATCACTTTGCTAATCCAAATCAACTAAAACTTGATACAGAAGAGTATTGGAGCGTGGCAAGATTGACCCAAGGAAACCAAAGAGGAAGAAGTTCCAACAGCTTACACAGGAGAGGAGGAAGAGGGGATCCTAGGCAGCAGCACCGAAAGGGGAAATGTGAGAGGTGGAAGCAAGGTTGGTGGATGTGGGACGTGAAGGACAGTCTGGTAGAACTCCCGGATGACTTGACATGTGTAACTGTGCCTAGATTAGGAAAGACGGACAGGTATGGGAGGAGAGAAGAGAAATCCCATCAGACATCCAGATTGCGGTAGGCATCACATACCTGGAGCCACAGGCGGGTTTGGAAACCAGGTGCACAGCATGCAAGTTCAAACACCTCAAGGGAACACAAGAATGCCAGGAGTGCAGCAACCTGGCAGGAAGAGAGACTGTCCTGTGTAGCAAAACCATCTGAGGAGGACAGACTTGTAACTCTACAGGAGAGGCTTCTAACAGGCTTAGGTTTAAGTGTGTAAGCCCCTTGGTGACTCCTGCTCACGCCAATTCAGTGGAAGATGGGGTGGAAGGCTGAGGCTCAAGGAGACTCCCGTGTCATTTTTCTCTTTAAAAGAACTTGGCTATGAAATACTCGATAAACTAGCAAGGAGGTGAAGAATCTTGAACTCAGAAGCTAAGAACAAGATGGGCTATGGCTGAGTGACACTTGCCCAGAATGCCCTGGGGTCCGTCTCTAGCTGCTTCTGCTGAATTGACACGTCCACTCCTGGGAGGAGGGAGCCTCTCAAGACCCAGGAAGCAAAATTTGTGAGAATCACCTGAGGTTATATAGATGGTAAACAATTTCCGGGTGAGAGGAAATTCTTGGGTGAAGTTGCTGCAAGTTGTGTAGTGACGCTCGCAGAAGGCGGGATGGAACTGTCCCTTGAGTAGCTGCCTTCGAGGGGCCCGTGCTCCTTTAAGTAACCCCGTTAAATTCATTAGCTCGCTGAGCTAGACTTGGCTGGAGTCTCTCCTTTAGTTTGTCATGCCATCTCTATGTGTGCTGACTAGAATGTTTTGTATGAAAAGCACAGAAACATCCAACAGCATAAAACAAGCAAACGCCTAAGAAGATAAGGAGGAAACAGGTGACTGCCTTCCACCTCGGGAGGGTTTGCACACCGACAACTCGAGGCATGGTTTTGTAGGAGACAAAGCCTGGGTCCATCCACAGAGAAACCCTCTGCACTGGCTCTGACCCACAGAAGGTAGTACAGTTAGTGCGTTCATAGGAGACACCTCAGAAAAATTGCCTGACTTGAACTTTGGTATTGGGTGAAAGTGAGGGCAAAAATCTTCCAGGAGATTTCATAAATGCAAGCCTGCTCCATGATATATTTTCATTCAAAATCTACCCCACCTGGATAGTTTGGGAAATGACAAACTATTTAGACTCAAGTAACCTAGGGCCATGTGTGGTAGTAGCAAGAAAAAAAAAGAGGAATAAATCAACTCTAGAGGAAATCAACCCTTAACTCTAGAAGATTCTTATAGTTAGTATTATAATAAAGACAGAGTTAAAAAGACATGATCAAATGGGA